GAACAGAGGACCATGGGGGAGAAGAAGGAGGGAAATAGTCGGGGAGAGGGAGAGAGGCAAACCATGAGAGACTCTTGAATGCCAAGAACAAACTAAGGACTGATGGGGGGGGGGGGGGGGAGATGGGCATGGAGGAGGGCACTTGTGGGGATGAGCACTGGGTGTTATATGGAAACCAACTTGACAATAAACTATTTGTAAAAAAAAAAAAAAGTTAAATTGATAGAATAAACATTGGAAGAACAAAAAAATAATAAAAAATAATTCAATTTATTAAAAAATATTATTTGAGAGCCCCCGGCTGTAGAAATGCCAAGGAAGGAAAGTATGGTTATTTTTCTGTGTTCAATACAGGGAGATTATAATACACTACCTCTCTAGACATCTTCAAGAGGGTCGATTTTTTTTCCTCTTAGATTCTATTTTATATTTCCTTCATGCATCTCTTCATAGAATTATTTTTGTTTTTCTGTATTACATAAACTGTGTTCATCAGTGATAAATTAGAAAACACATAAAGCAAAAGGAAATAAAAATTATCAGTAATCTCATTACCATTGAGTAATCACTATCTCGTATATCTTCCCAGTGTCTTGTTTGTTTGTTTTCTAGCCATGTTTACCCCTATGCACACGTGCAACAAAACTGAGGTTATGTACTAACCTAACTACAATTATACTTTTTTTCCTTATTTAATACATCTTCATTTGTAAATAAATTATTTCTACAACATTTTTTTGGTGTTCATGTTCAACCTTGACAACAATATTTATTTTCTCCTTACAAGTAGTATTTATAATAGAATATTTGCAAAATATGGATGACTTCAAAAAGAAGATTAAAACTACCTATTATCCCAATATTCAGAGGACTGTTAACATATTCTCGGACATTCTGGTGCCTTTTTTTCTGTACATAACTTTTTCTAAAAGAAACATGTATTAATGTTTCTCATTAACATACTTTTTACTAGCAATACATTATGAATATTCCTTCATGTCACTACATTTTCTGCAAAAATATGATTTTCAATAATTTCAAATTATTCTACCATCTGGAACAAACCATAATGCCCTCAAATGATCCCTACAATTGGATATGCAGATTGCCTGTAATGGTTCATCACTATAAACAGCACTATATTCAACATATATAATAATGTTTTTAATGGCTGTGTGGTATTCCATTGTGTAGCTATGTCATCTTTTGTTAAATGAATCCTTTATTTTTTTAATGTTTCAGTTCTCAATATTTTGCTTAAATAAGCAATCCTGTCACTATTAGAACAAATCTTTACTCCTATCCTTATTTTTTTTTATTATTCTTGACATAATTGGTGAGCAGTTGTTTCAAGTTTAGCAGCTGGTGATGTACTTAACATTTTGTTGGATGCTCTGGGGGTACATAGAAGAAACATGAGACATGGCCCCAGTCCTTCAAGTGTTAAAATTTAGTTGCAAATATGACTAATACATGCAAAATAGTAATGAATAATTTATTTTAGTATATTATTAAATGCTAAGTTGTGTGGTTCTGATTAAGTGTTTCGATGTGTAGTTCAGGGGGTAAGAGGATATTGAGGCCCAGGATAGTCAGGCAGGACTTCAAGGAAGAAATATAGTTTGATTTGTGCTTTGAGGAGTGGGTTGAGTGAATAGTCAAAGAGAATGTGGGCCATTCTAGAGGAAAGGAATATGAAGCACAAAAGCTCAGAAATGTGTGTGTTTGATATAGTCACAGTACCATGAGAAGGCTATTTAAGTTTAAAGTCTTTTTATTGCCACTGCTGAGCCATCAATTTTAAGTAACAACTTCCAAAAAATCTGAGTAATATTTATATTAATGTTTTTTACAGTTTTGTTGAGATATAAATGACAATAACATTGTATTAGTTTAAAGTGTATAACGTAATTATTTGAAATATATATGTATTATGAAATGATTACCATAATAAGTTTAGTTAATATCCGTCACTTAACATAAGTTTTGCTTTTAATATTTACTTTTCTTATCTTCAGACATGGAAACATCTTAAATATTCCTGATTTGTGAAAATTGCTTGTGTTTTATACACTTTGCTTAATGACTATTTTTTGGTACTACTGTGTGGTTTTCAGTCATCTGCATATAATTTTGTATTGTATTTAATTTATTTCCAGCAAAAAACCCCCTTTAGATAATCTGAATCAATGTTGCTCTATTTCTTATATTGGGATTAGGATCTTTTTAAATAATATTTCAAAAATTATCTTCGCTGTTTGGTTTGGTGATGCCACTGAGGTTGGGAGAAAACACATTTATACTAAATTGCCTTTGATTTTTTTTTATAGTTTATTTATTTTTGAGACAGAGAACAGGTGGGGGAGGAGCAGAGAAAGAGGGAGACAGAATCTGAAACAGGCTCCAGGCTCTGAGCTGTAAGCAAAGAACCCGATGCGGGGCTTGAACCCATAAACTGTGTGATCATGACCTGAGCCGAGGTTGGATGCTAAATTGCTTAATTGACTGAGCCACCCAGGTGCCCCAGTAAATTGCCTTTGAAAGAACTAATGCTAATTTATGCCCCATATGCACTCGGTTTTTTGTGATGTTCATTTGTTCAGTCATGTTATACAGTGGTGTTTTCACAAGAAAGAACAAAAAAAGAGAGAGAGAAAGAGAGATAGAGAGGATCTTTTGTATGTAATTTTAAAAAATCACAAGTAACTGGCCTTCTTAAAAATGTTCATAATTATATCCACATTATAACATTAAGGCAAAGCACATTTGTCTTATTGCCTTCATAGGGAATCAGAATTAAAGGACCTATGCATCGGAATCAGGATATTCATCAAACTTCATATTCCTGGATCCCACTCTTGCCGGTATAGAGGGAGATGAGGGAATCTGCGTTTTAACATACTTATAGGGAATTCTAAACATTGAAGTTTGAGAACCATTGTTTTAGGGAAATACTGTCTTAAATCTCTCCTCCACAGCTATGCTGCAGTGACATGCAGTAAGGCTTGACAGATATCCTTGGGCATCTTTCCTCAAATTCATATTTCATCAGACCTGTTTTGTTTTTAGGAAATTACATAATAAGTTGAGATTTTTTTCCTTAATAAAACTTACTTAAAAGTTACCTAGCCCCTTTAAAAAAAGCAAAAATAAAAACAAAACTAGAGATCCTTTGTCAAGTTTTTTTTATCCCTAATTTGGCATTATTGGCTTTTATACAATAGTACTCTCTTCATTTTAAGTGTTTGGACTCAGTACCCCTTTACTCAGGTGAATTGCTTGTAGGCCCGCATTCATGAAAGACCATCATTCCTTAAGTTTTATAAAGTTAAAAAGTGAGGGAGAGAAATGATAAAATTTATACCTTTCCATTGTTCTTAAGGATGGTATAAGATGACTTATATGACTTAAGCCATTGATAATTTTATCCACTGCCTCTGTCAGTGCCTGGTGACATATTGCAATTAATTGTTATCTCATAATAGTCCCAAAACCCTGAAATAAGTTTTATTCCCACCTTATACAATGACAAAAATATGAAATACCTAGCATTTACTAAGTATAGTTATCTCATTTAATTTATGTGGAAATTTACTTCTCTAGGCTCCATTTCCCTTTTCTCCCCCTTTCCCTACCAGTTATTACTGTAACTTTTGCCTTATATTTCTTCCTCTGCTTCTTAAAGCTTGGTGGGCTTCTTTGTGAAGAAGGAGAGAGATATAGGAGCAATTAGAACTGTCGTGTTTCTGATGAGAATCCCAAAGGCTAACTGCTTTACGTACAGTTTTTCATTGGGCAAGAGAATATCCATGCACAGACGTATAAGGTGAATGTAAGATTACTGATGGGCAATGGGTAAATAATAGCTGCTTCCAACCCTCAGTTGGAAGTTTAGAACCCTCAGTTCTTATTTAGAGAGATATAAAAACATTTTCTTCCTGTAAACTTTTAGGCGTTTATTATTTTCAGTCTCAGATTTGTATTTTTTCCTTGCAGATGAATCTAATCCTCTTACCAGCTAGCTAACTTCTCTGTACTGTGAAGTAATTCTTGTGCAAATATTTCTGTAACAAACTTGTCCTTTTTAAAAACAACCAAACAGGGGCGCCTGGGTGGCTTAGTTGGTTAAGCGTCCGACTTTTGCTTAGGTCATGATCTCACGGTTCGTGGGTTCGAGCCCCGTATCGGGCTCTGTGCTGACTGCCAGCTCAGAGCCTGGAGCCTATTTCGGAGTCTGTGTCTCCCTCTCTCTCTGACCCTCCCCTGCTCACGCTGTCTCTCTCTCTCCTAGAAATAAATAAAAGTTAAAAATAACTATCAAACAAACAAAAAACCATAGAAATAAACCATTCTTAAATGTGTGTGACAATGTGCTAAAATGTAAGTGGTGAAGAAAAGGAATAGAATGAGATTTTTGTAACTTTGACAGATGTGTAGCTAGGGAAAAAAGGGATTCTCCGCAAACCATAGTGGACAAAAACATTCAGTTGGCTAATTTTCTGGCACTGATTTAGATATTTTATATGTTTTCTGTTGAATAATTAACATTGGATATTGAAGCTAATTTCTCTACTGGTTCTAAATTCAAGGATAATGTTATTGTGATGTACATATTTTTTTAGGCTGTGGGAAGAGCATTTAACAAAAGTGCCAATGAAAAGAAAAACTTTGCCCATCTTCGTAATTAGTAATTTTTGAATCCAAACTATTTTAAATGAAAGGTGTAAGAATAAGTAGTCAAAGTGTCCATATTAAAATTAAGTTTTTGAACCACTCGGATTGGTTTCTAATTAAAAAAAAAACAGTTTGAATCTGCAATTTCAGGGAAGTTCTTTTGATAATTGCTTCTTTAATGTTTAGAATTTTTAAAGCAGAGATGGTTACTGTTATTATTTGTTCATCTAAGCCTCATATGCTGTCATTCTGAGTTTGGGATTTTTCTTCAACGATATGCACGGAAACAGATGTTCTAATGGTTTTATTTTATTTTGTTTTTCTAGGAGTCAGAGAATAATAAGTTATGTTCCCTATATTCCTTCCGAAATACCTCTACCTCACCACATAAGCCTGACGAAGGGAGTCGGGACCGCGAGATAATGACCAGTGTTACTTTTGGAACCCCAGAACGCCGCAAAGGGAGCCTTGCCGATGTGGTGGACACACTGAAACAGAAGAAGCTTGAGGAAATGACTCGGACTGAACAAGAGGGTATGTGTGGACTTAACTGTTGGGCTTTATTCTTTTAAAGATTCCAGGCTGTTTAAAAAATGAGTGGGGTTTCAAGGGCCAAAGCAGTGCGTAATTGGCACTAGCTAGGAAAAAGTTATTCAGAGGTTACCATGGTGATGGCAGATTGTGATCCATTGAGAGTGTTAAGCAGATATCTCCATTTTTCTAAACTTTGTGCATTTTATTTGGTTCTTATGATAACAAATTAAGGTTTTAAACTGACTGCAAGCCTTACCCTTGAAAAAGATGTAGTATGGGAACTTTTTCAGCTGCAACTTAATTTTTCATTTTTCTCCTTTACTTCCTTTTGATGGATAGTGTTTTATTATGAAAAGAGTAACTGTTTAAAAAGAAAAAAAAACAAAAATAAAAATAAAACTAATTTATTTCTCCTTATTTTTATAAATATTACAAACTTATAAGTGTTATTCTGGAACCTTCAAATGTTGTAGAATTGAGAATTGAAGTTTCTAATATTGTGAAAGTGAAGTGCTCTAGGGGGACACATGACATCTATTGCAGCATCCCACATCTCATCTACCTTCTCTATACTCTCTCATGAGTCCACTTAGATTCACATAGGTCCTAAAAAACAGATGAAAGGGGTGCCTTGGTGGCTCAGTCAGTTAAGTATCTGACTTCAGCTCAGGTCATAATCACACGGTTTGTGGGTTCGAGCCCCGCATCGGGCCCTGTGCTGACAGCTAGCTCAGAGCCTGGAGTTTGCTTCAGATTCTGTGTCTCCCTCTTTCTCTGACCATCTCTTGCTCAGGCTGTCTCTTTCTCTCTCTCAGAAATAAATAAAAAACATTAAAAAAATTTAAAAAGACATATGAAAAAAGACTATCAAAATATTTTTAAATTGAATAAATCAAGCTTAAGTGATTGCTATGCTTATATATGTTCTTTCATCTTTATGTATAGATTTTAGACTTTGAAAGGTAGGGTAGTTAATGGTTCTTGATATTGCTAACATCATAAATTAAATTTAGACTTCTGTGACACTATCAGGAAGTGGATATATAAAGGAATTTTTAATGTAACTTAATTTTATTCCTCTAAGGACTTAAAAGTTTCAAATTAATTTTTGTGGATGTGTCCATCACATCAACACAAAAGGAAGCTTCTAAAATGTATTACATACTTCTTTAACTTATCAACCAGATTATATGGCACAAAATATAAATGCTTTTTGGTGACTCAGGATCATGATGCAGTAGACTCTGAACTCCAGTCTAACAATTATGTGACCTTGCAGAAATTCTTCAGTCTCTCTGAGCCACAAAATTTAAAATTTGGGATGGTACTAATACTTGACTTGGCAACTCAAACACTTTGAGTATTAACTATAATAATGAATATAGAAGTCTCTTATGAACAGTAAACTATATAAACTTGAGATCTTGTGATGATTATCATATTATAAATGTCAATTATTTTATCATGCTATAATGTAAAGATACCCCAGAGATAATTGGGATGATTAGGACTGTTTGGCATTATGGTTATTTCTCTGTAATTATGAAACTTTGGAGTGCTGTGTCTGCTTGATATAGGTATCTTTTTTGGTGCATGTGTGCGTGCGTGTGTGTGTGTGTGTTTGTATGTAAGTGTGTGTGTGTGTTGGTTTCTCCTTTTTCAATAACAGGTTTCAGGATGTTACTTTTTGCTTTGTTGTGAATAATTTCTAATTTAATTTTTCATTTATAAATTATGAAAATGTATGATCATGACCTCTGGACCATGTGTAAAATATAAACATATATGTCTGGGTGAGTTGCTTAGAGATTCTGGGTATTATACATGATTTTTAGTGTATGGACTTCTTGCTTCTCAGACACTTAATTTTCCCCTCTTTGGCTATGTTCTAGAATGATTGAGGCTATCAGATCAATAATGTCTGATTAAGTAAGATTGCTGGATTATTCTTAATTATGATTTACCAAAAATATGGTTTTAGTTCTATAAGAAAGTGGGCTTCAAGATAACTTAGAGAACTCTTTAATGCAAAAATAAAGAAATGGATTTGTGATGATTTGGGGGGTGGTGTGGACTTCTAGAGAATTTAAAATAATTTTTATCTTGAAAGTCATGGTTAGTTTTCTGTTCTTCCTATTTTGATACAACAGGGGCACTTGCAAGATGGGACCACTCATTTAAGAGTACTTTATCACTATGTTCCTACTATTAAAGAATATTTTTATGTGCTTTACTGAACTTTGTTTTTGGTTTGTAAACTATACACATTTTAAGCATCAGAAACCCAGGCATTTTTTAGTGTGTATTAATGTATACATTAAATATAAATATGAAGTGATGAAAGTAGGCTCATCAAACTGACACATTTTACAAATCTGAGAGGAATGCTGAGTATAATAACGTATGAAAGAAACAAAGCTCAAAATGTTTTGACAAACTGAAAATGTGAACTTAAAACTGACCCACCAAGATAAAATTTAATAGATCTTGTCAAGTCCAGAGAGTGTGACCGAAACTCCTAGCTACACAAATAATTACTGAAGGAAATTCAAGTAGCAGACACATACATTTTTTAAAAAGCTTATGAGGTTTAGGTGACAGAAAGTGCACTATGGTCAACATGATGAATATTGCCCAAAATTTGCCAATGCTGTCTCCATCAGCATTACCAGAATTACAGTATGTAGCATTCAAGAAGTGGTAGTCCCACTGAATTCCCAGCTCAATAGAATGCATATGAATTATTGTGTCAGGTTGAGAATTACCACACTTTAAGAGGGACTCAAAAGCATTGGGATATTCTCAGAGAACAGGTGACAGATGACATCATAACAGACATACAATTATATAATAAGAGGAATGGTTGAAGGAACTAGTATTATTAATCCCAGAGAAAATAGATAAAAGATGACAGGATAGTTGTCTTTAAAGATTAAAGTCATGTGGAGGAAGAATCGGGTTTATTCTATAGCTCCACAGGGATAGAATGAAGATCAGTGACAAGAAGTTGCAAGGAACCAGATTATCATTTATAACAAGATTAATTGTCTAACAGTTGTACCTGTCCATGTATGGAATAGTCATCTTTGGAAGATAATAAATTGTCCTTAGAGGCTTATGGCAATCTTAATTGACATTTTAATAGGGCTAGGGGACAGAAGATTGGTCTTTTTCTAATGCCAAGATTCTAAGAATTTTTATGAACAATATGCTTATATAATATTTTACAGTTCATCATATATATGTATGTATTTATAGCTCTAATCAAGAACTACATAGTATCATGATTATTTTCTGTAAGTTTTTTTTCTTTTTACAAGGTGCTGTATTAGAACTGAGAGATTCTTACCTACTGACTTTCTTTTTTTTCCTTTGATTCCTTTGGTAGTCTGGTGAAGCCTACAGGTTATTTTTTAGTTTAAGTAGGTAAAGCAAAATCCATGGAATTATTAGAAAATAAATTATATTAAAATATTAAATAACTTAAAATTTTGTGATATGGTAGAAAGTGCTACTTAACAAATGCATTGAACAACAAGATCTAAGGGAGGGACTGAAAATATCAAAATTTTAAAGTGGTGATTTTAAAGTAGTGATAAACATAAAAGATATTTTGATAATATTGTTAACAAGTTCAATGTGATCTAAAAATACATTATAATTCTCTTGGTTGTGGTATCACAGATACTATGAATATTTTATGGTTTGCTGCTTGCATTCATAGTTTAAGGAAGTAAAAATTTTCAATTAAAGGTTAGTGAAAAAGAATTTTTTTCCATCCAGGTTCACCGTCCAAGGCCTCCTGGATTCTGTAGAAATGGGAAAAGAGGAAGGGGTGCAAATGGAAGAGTTATTAGGAGATAGAATTGTTAGGAGTTGACATTTAAATGAGGAGACCAAGGGAGAAGAATGGTTCAAATATTGCTCAGAGTTTTTAAACTTTGTGTGAATAGGAGAGTGTTAATACAATTAATAAAAAAAAAAATAGAGTAACATGTTTTAAAGATGGGAGCCATGAAGATTTCTATTTTTTATTGTGAGTTTGATTCCTAATTTTAATTATCTGCTTGGAGCAATAGTACAGAATAGCATAACAGGATTTCTGATTCTGTAATAACTACATTTCAGGTCTTAGGAGGTATAATAGCTCCACCAATATTTGCCTGGCTTTGACCCTTTAAAGCCCCAGGTCCCTCACCTCATGTGAGATAGCTCTTATCCCATGGGACATAGAAGAGCTTTCAAAAGAGCTTACTCACCTCTCTCTCACCTCTATTTCCTGGTTTGAAGGCCATACCTCGTGAATGAAAAACCCGTGCGATTGACATAATAAGTGACCTTTTTTGAGTTATTCTTGTCCTGTAGAATGTTTTGACTCTATCAGACTAAAAACCTTTCTTCTCACTTCCCCTCCTATACCAGAATGGATCTATTAAAAGTTCATTTAGTATGGTCTATTAAAAAACAGTATCTACATTATAAAACAAAACAACTCACATAGCATTAGGAAAGTTATTCTCTTACGGGCAGATCCTTTCATCAGCCAAATAATTGTCCAGTGTTTTATCTGCCATCCCTCAAGATATGTCTTCTTCAGAGCTGTGATATGACTGGATTGCTGTAACACTGATGAACAAAGGTGTTCTGTCTAAAGTGCCTCTTCTGAAATGGAGGTTTGTGGGAAAATAGACAAGGTTTCTGTTTTATTGTAAATGTAACCTTGATATTCTGGTCATAGGTAGGTAGGAAGATAGATAGATGATAGATAGATACATGAATAGATGGATAGAACAAGTATCAGAATCTACCTTTTAAAATACTGTTGATATTGGTGGGTAGAGTATGAAGGAAGACTGCTTATAGGTTCAGGTTAAAATGCTTCCAAGATAAAAATCCTTCAGCTGTGATTAAATGATGAATTTTAGTTATCCTTGTATCACCCATCGTGTTGCCAATGTAGCTGGGCTCTAACATAAGCGACAGTTGTCAGAAAATGAATA